ACCACAGCCAAAGACCGAAATCCAAATACCCTGACTCGCCATCCCAGCACTCACCCTACAAAACTGCTCAGTCAGAAAAGTCATTACAGCCACTATAATCCCGCCAGATGTCACACAGGTCGTCGTATCTGCTTCCAGCCCCCTACCCAGGCTCCTGCTGCTTCCTTGGTCAGACAGTCCCTGCTATGACCCTTCAACTTCCTTCTCTCTCAAGGTTAGCTGCCTACAGAACACCCAGGTTTTAAGTAAATAATTTGTATTCCCTCATTTTGCATTTTGCCAGGTTGTATTTAAGAGCCATGTGTTATAACAGCGTTACACGTGCATTAGATATTTTTATTTTTAAATAAACTAAATAAAGCATTAAAGATGGACATCTTAGATATTCTTCATCCTTCAAGGTCCCACTCTGCCCCCAGTGATCCCACCTTTCTCTGAAGGCTACATGAACCTTAGATCTTAGTCACACTGCATTACTCGGCCTAAGTTAGTTCTCTTTTATTCAGCAATACTCTAAGATGCTTAAGAATAAATAATGCCTCATGTTCCTACTTCTCAAAGTTCATAACTCATGAATTAGGTACAGGTTCACAGATTTTTAAGAGCTGCAGAGGGAGAGGAAGAATGGGCACTAACATTTATTCAGCTTCAGGTATTTTATATACACAACTAGACAACATGTACTTTATTCATGTATAATCAAACAAAATCTCCTTTTTTCATCTGAGAAAATTTTTATGAAGGGAATTTGAAACTGTACAGCCTACATATGGTTTGGGGTTTTATCCCCAGAACATCCACGTACACACCAAACATCCATGAAACCACGCTGAAAACAATGCTTCGCTTCCCCAGTTACCATGTGGCCACACTTTGCCAGCAGTCCTAGGGGTGGGGGGTGGCCAAGGCTACCAAGGCACCCGCGTGACACTCATCTCTGTGTGGGATGTTGTGAAAAGCATGATGTGAGAAGGAGTCCCAGGGGCAGTGGAAGCCCTCTCTTCAAGTCTGCGGCAGCACCACCTGCCAGACCAGCAGGCAAGTCATCCACACGGCAGAACTGAGCACACGGGACGTAAGACGTGAGATGAAGCCTAAGGAGAGGAGGCACCGTCACGGGTGGTGTCAGAGTGTAACCTGGGACGCCCTCTTTGCAGGACGACGTGAAAGGCGAATCAAAAGTTTATAGGCACGAACTTTTTAGGACAAGATTCTACTGGTGAGATTTTGCCTGTGAGTCAATTGCAAAAGTATACCAAGATATATGAATAAGAACACTGGATGTAACTTGGTGTGTAAAGACAAAAAATAAAAATCACCTAAATGTTTACAGCAGGGCACTGTTTCAATAAGTTATGGTACATTCACAGAGTGGAATACTATGCGCCACTGAAAACAATGAGAAGATTTGTATCTCCAAGATATACATGCTTAAGTGCAAAAATGCGAAGTACAGAACGATAGCCAGAGTGTAAGCCCATCTGGGCTATGTATATGTATGTATTATGTATATATGTGTACATGCATAAAGGATTTGGGTTTCTTAGCTTTCCTTTTTGTTTTTTTGTTTTGTTTGTTGATCCCTATATAGATACACAAGAAAGTGTAAACAGTGGTCACACCTTTATGAAAAGACTGGGGTAGCTTAGCAGGTGTGGGGAGAATTTACTCAGTAAAGAATTTACTTCTTATTTCAATACCCGTCTGTCCTATGTGGTCTTTTTTAACCATGTGTCTGCATACTGAAAAATATAAATAAATATTTTGAAATTCTACATGGAAATATTAGTCTAGGAAGACATTCATTGACAGATATTAATATCAGCATCTAAAAATTATCACATCTCCTGACATTACTGTCTCAAAAACAGCTGTTTAGAAAGCACCCAACTGTCATTAGTTTGATGTTTTATGTTCTTAACCTGCCAATGCTATTTTGCTTGGCTGGCTGGAAATGTCACTTTAAAACAAGAAGGGTAACATAGAAAGTAAAGGATGTTATTGATATTTCAAGCAAAATTCAAACATGATTTCAGTGACTGAACCCCTTTCCCTCCACGGTGAATGCAGCCACAGATGTGACCCTGCTTTGTGAATTAAACCATTCAACTTAACGAATGAAAATGGACACTGGCAATGAGCCCCAAACGGACATGGCAACGTGGAATTCACCCCAAATGCACATCTTTCCCCTGATCTTCTGTGAATATCCTTTAAAATAATTTTATGTTCTAAACACCTCAGACCTCAGATGAGTAATATGGCCCTCGGAAATATCATTTTCTTACTATTGATCAAAGAAGTCCATTTGCATGGAGATGTTATTAAACACCAGGAACATCATTCAACAGATATTTTCGGAAATCCAGCTATGCAAGGCACCAAGCTCAAACAGCACCTGAGTAGTAAGTGCTGAGCACCCCTGGGGTTCACAAAACCAAAAACCCCAGTGCGGGATGGAAATAATGGTAAAAGCACCAGCATTAAATTGGAAACCAAGTTGGGCTTTAGGAGAAAACTGGGATTTGTGCCAATACAGTTGAGATAGCAGGTTAAATATTCATGTTGAAGGGCAAGGTAACAAGAACTAAGACGGGGCAGTAACAATTTTAGCAGCTTAAAGGGAAATGATACTGAGAAAAAGTAGAAAATATATTTAGATAGGAGAAGTGGTCTCAAATTTTACACTAAAATATTTTTAAAATATGCAGCAGACAATATTGATTAGCTCTAGCACTATTAGCAGGTAAGATGTGTCCAACTTTTTCCCTGGGACAATGCTTCTCAAATATGGCCATGTATCAGAACTGCCTGGAGGGCTTGGTAAAATACAGACCACTGAACCCCCCCCCCCAGAGCATCTGGTCAGCAGGTCTACAGTGGGACCAAAGAAGCCACATTTCTAACAAACTCCCAGGCAATGCTGACACTGCTGGTCCAGAGACCACAGCAGGAGAACCACTGTCCAAGAATAACTTTAAACACATCAAGTACCCTATTCTCCTCAGAAGACATGACGCAGCAAACCTAAAATGCTGAGAAGAACAGCATCCTCACATAACTCAGGACAGGTGCAGGCCTTCCCAAGTCTGATCCAAGCAACCTCGGAGACAGCTAGTTCTCTGGGATACACTCAGACCACTCGGCGCTCACGGTACCGGTCCCGTCTGGACCTCAAGGGGAACAGGACCTCAGCCCCCACGTTAACCACTCCCCTTCCCAGTGGCGCTGAGGCTGAGGAAACAGCTCTCTAGCTTGACGCGGGCCTATATGTAACATCTCAAAACCAACCTCAGACCAGATCATCGCTGGACACTTCTCAGTTAATGCCTGGAGGTCATGGAGTCACACCAACCTGGCATCGAACCAAAGAATGTAAGTATGACACTGTGTCACTTCACCACTGCATAATGTGTAAATGCACAACTACAACCCACATGAAGACACCAAAACCCACACCCAAATAAATGACGAGAGCCCCTGAGAATGCTCTAATGGCCTACCATCCCCAAAACCATCACCACAGAGGAGGTCTCCTGGTCACTTCTGCCCACCCTGACATTTGTAGGAGTACAAGAAGTTGTCATAAGGAAACAGCACAGAAAACTAGAGGCATGATGCAATGTATGCCCTCTAGTTGTCAAGATGTTACTGTGACATATTTTTCAGACGTAATTAACATTTAAACAGTAGAATCTGAGAAAAGCAGGTTACACTCCACGGTGAGGTGGACCTCATCCAATCAGCTGAAGGCCCTACAGGAAAAAAGACTGACCTTCCCCTGAAGAACAGGGAATCTGCCTCCAGATGGCCTTTGGACTCAAGACTGTAACATCGGGATTCCCTGGTGGCGGTTGAGAGTCCGCCTGCCGATGCAGGGGACACGGGTTCGTGCCCCGGTCCGGGAAGATCCCACGTGCCGTGGAACGGCTGGGCCCGTGAGCCATGGCCGCTGAGCCTGTGCGTCTGGAGCCTGTGCTCCGCAGCGGGAGAGGCCACAACAGTGAGAGGCCCGCGTACCGCAAAAAAAAAAAAAAAAGACTGTAACATCAACTCTTTTCTGCGTCTCCAGACTGCCACTAGTCAGTCCCCATCACTGCATGAGTCAATTCCTTAAAATAGGGCTTCCCTGGTGGCACAGTGGTTGAGAGTCAGCCTGCCAGTGCAGGGGACATGGTTCGAGCCCTGTTCCTGGGGGATCCCACATGCCGCAGAGCAACTAAGCCTGTGAGCCACAACTACTGAGCCCACGCGCCACATCTACTGAAGCCCGTGCGCTCTAGAGCCCGTGCTCTGCAACAAGTGAAGCCACCGCAATGAGAAGCCCACGCACCGCAACAAGGAGTGGCCCCTGGTCGCCGCAGCTAGAGAAAGCCCGTGCGCAGCAACAAAGACCCAACATGACCAAAAATAATAAATAAATCAAAATAAATAAATTTATCTTAAAAAATTCCTTAAAATACGTCTCTCTCTACAAATATACATATAATTCATCATTATCAAGTAGGGACAGAGATTGTGACAGGGCTGTCAATTACTCTTATTGGTTCTGATCCTCTGGAGAGCCCTGACAAACACAACCCCTACAGTTAGTTCACAAACTCTGTCCCTTACTTGATAATCATCAATTACCTCCATCTTTTTAAAAGAAAAGGCCTCCTTTCACCTTTAATATGAAGATTATCATTTTTTTCGGCTGCACGGCGTGACTTATGGGATCTTAGTTCCCCGGCCAGGGATTGAACCCGGGCCCTCGGCAGTGAAAGCACCAAGTCCTAACCACTGGACCGCCAGGGAATTCCCAAGATTACCTTCTAAAATGTACCAGAGTCAATGACACATATATTCCATACCACTCTACATAAAACTCAACCAGAAGCAACCGGTTTCGAGTGACTGAAAAAAACACCTCTGCTGTCACTGTACCAGATGTACAATTACACTGCGAATTCCCACAATGAGCACAAACTACAGGAAGGGTCCAGGAACTGACAACTTACCAAGCATCCATCCTGATTCAAACGCTCCTTGGAATCCATACTGAGCTTCCTCTTCCTGTTGGGCTGTTTCATTGCCACTTCAGCACTCCTTAGCAGTGTTTTTCTGCAAAATAGTGCCACAGAAAGAGTGATGGGGTTTTTTTCTCCTTTAGAATTACAAGAACAAACAAACAAAAATAACCATGCTTTCAATTATACCTCTTATAATTGGTTGCCATCAATACCCTGATAAATAAGCTGACACAAAAATTTCACTGTTGATTTTATAGCCCCTAGTACAATACTAAATTAATGGGGGAAAGAGGTAAGTTTTCCACCTCATCTAGAATACATGTCACAAAAAATAGATATTATTCCTTTGGTCCTCCCTCTCACGAAATTTTGGTTTTGCTTAGCTGAACTAACCAGTTAGGATTTGCTGCAATTTTCCTATACAGCTTCTATACTCACATGGTCTGAGTCTCCACAAGTGTCAAGGCAGAGGTGTTCTAGGTATGAGGTCCTAGTCACACAAGGCATAGCAGGGCAATCTGCAACAGAGAAGAAAACTTTTCACCAATCCAATTTATCATGACCATCCTTTGGTACATTAGTAAGTAGCAGGCATTCTTTAATAAGTTACTTGGAATTAGTTTTTTTGATAGAGCGATTAACCACACTGGAGAACCAACCACTAGTATTATATAAGTCCCACTGGAGTTATAATTCAGAAGGTCATTCCCTTTGAATAATTTTAACTACAATTTACCTGTAAGTTTTTAAAATTTCAATGGACTCAAATCACCTGTACTCCCCAGTGTTTTAGAATCATATATCCAACTTCTTACTTGATATGTCCCCCTGTACAGTGACCTTAAAAACTACAAACTGAGCACATTCACCACTGAGCATGTCACTGCCCCTCTCACGGCCACCCAGTTCCACTTGCTCTCCATATTTGCACTGTTGATGCAAGTGGCCACATCCACCCCTTACAGTTGCTCAGACTGTGCACTGCACAAGAGCACCGAGCCAAGGGGCCAGTGGAAGCTGAAACCCACCCTGGGCTCTGCACACACGCCATTCCTCCTGCCACAGGCTTTCCATCCGCCAGGAAGAAAATGTACCTTTTTCTAATTCAAACAAAGAGACCCCTTTTGGGCTAATGGCAGGCCTGACATTGCCAGAGATGGAGGAGCCGTTGCCATTGCTTCAGCCTTTCCATCCCAGCCCACACTCTCACCAGCTTTGGTGGGTGTTTAATCTACTCAGAGTGTCTGGAATCCATCTTCCCCCTCCACTCCTAACTCTGACCCCCTATGGTCTCGTGCCCCACGACGTCCGCTGGAGCATGATGTGCCCGTGGCTTCGCAGCCCCACACTTTTGCTGGTCCCTCAACCTCAGAACCGCCCCTCCTTTGTCAACCTCTCTAACTCTCACTCATGCTGCACGACTCCACTGAAAAGACTTCCCATCCCTGAGAAAAGCCTTCCTCGCTCACCTCCTGCCTCCGACGGACCAGGTGCGTCTCTCCTCACATGCAGCATACCTGTCCTTGCCTCTGCCACAGTATTCAACACTTAACATGTCATGTTTTTCATTTTCAGATGTGTCTCCCCTTTTGAGGCTATAAGCATCCTGAAGACCAGGTCTGTGGATGCCTGATCTCTACTTTCCACTCTCCACGGTGCCACCTCCCAGCAGACTCTCAACATGCCCTGAACTGCATACGCACATCTCTGAATCACAGAGAAGCCTTGAGTCCAGTGGATATTAGTTCTCGACCCATACGATACCCCTGTTAGAATGCTGTATGACTGGAGCAAGCATGTTCTCAAACTCTGTAACTCCCTTCTCTTTCTCCTCCATATACAAAAAAAAAAAAAAAAAAAACCACAAACAAACAAAAAACACTTCCGCACATCCGTTTGCTTTTAGTCAGATAATATTCATGTCCTTAAGACAGGCATTTTCCTGCTAAATTCAATAACACTGCATTCATTTTGTAGGATGTAAATACAATTTATCACGCCTAGCTCCGGGTAATACTCCGAAGGTCTATGCAAATGAACAGTTTAGACTTGATGCCTGTAGCAAAGTATTCCTGCACAAGACAAGCACGGCCAAGGCTGGCTTGCACATGACTAATAATACCCCTAATGGCAATAATACCCTAATGGCTTGTCAAACTGAAATCGTCTGGCTACTGAGGATTTTCTCCTCACGGTCAAAGTGATCCATCTTGCTAATACCTGGTAATTGTCTCAGTAACTCTGATTGGTTTAAAAAAGCAAGAAAGCCTGAATTTATATTATCATGTATTGGGGGGGAAATGGAAAATGTTTATGCTGAGGAGAAGTTTCAAAATACAATTTAGTAATAATTAAATTCCCTTTACACTTAGAAATAATAAAGCAAAATATAAAAGGTACCTAACAGCCCATAAAAGATTTTGCTGCCAGGCAAAAAAAAAAAGGAATCAAATACAAATTCCATCAAATACAATACAAAGGAGACGAATGATATGTAGATAGATGAGAGATAATGGATGGATCGACCGACAGACAGACAGGCAGGTGGGAGACGCTGACACACAGACAGACAGGGAGGGAGGGAGGTCTGAGGTGGTCCCTTCACCGTCAGTTCACAGAACGTATTCTAAGCAACCGAACAGAACGCCTGACATAAACTGAACCTGAGTCCTTGGCACAGTATCAAAATATACGGATTACTCTGATTTCCCATGATACGTGGCCTACCCCTGGGGGGCCCCAAATGTCACGTCAGCCGCATGCCTCCTTGCTGAGCTTTGAAGAAATAAAAAAATTTTAGAGCCAAGGAAGAATAATGTCAGACTCTAAAACACAGTAAGGAAGCGTACCGTCTGGAAGAAGCGAAGGTGAACAGAGACAGTGGCTGGGCAGAGCAGTGAGTGCCCCAGCGCACTCTGGCACTGCGACAGCACCCAAGCACTGGCTGCAACAGACAAGGTTATTTTAAGTGATTTTAATTAAGGAAACTTCTAAATAGTATTTTATATTTAAACAAAAAGACAGATGAGTATAGAGAACTGATTTGTATTTCTATGAAGAATGTGGAAATAGTGCACGGATTTTTCAAGTTAATCCTCTTAATCATTTCGATTTCCCTCATGGTTCATAGAATTTTCTGTCTGCACATGGCCAAACACCTGTCTTACTGACTTCCTAATTAAGCAGACAAATTAGATTTTTATTTAGAAGGCACACGGTTTTAATGCTTCAAATTAAAGGAGCCTACAAACAACAAAAATATTGCACAGTCCGCCTATGTCCAGTTGCTATTTGGTAACTGATCACCTACTATCATCAGGACAGTCACAGGTACTTTGCAGAATCTAAGGAAGATTCTTCAGACATTGTAGAGGGGAAGAGAAGCACAGTAGCCATGCGCCCTGGATAACCCAGCATAGTTCTGACTCATGCCTCCCATTCTGGCAGAACTATTAACAGCATTGCCTTTCACTCCCCAAAATGTTCCCAATTAAACAGGAAATCGTAAGGTCACTGTATGGATAGGAAACACACATAAATTAACAAGAAATATAATGCATGCCTTTAAAGACTTATGAACGGGCAATTCACGTGGTGCTCCCAGAGGGAGAGAAGGTCCAACACAGATCAGAAAACATACTATGGGGTAACATTTCAGCTGCTTCCAGGACGCTGCATAGAATTTAAAGTGAATTTAGCACCAAAAAATTCCATACAAATATCCAATGACTGCACTGATTTCCCACCATTCCAAAGATGTAACCAGGCTAAACTGTATTCACCCAGTTGATACTCAATGCCAATAACGCATAGTAGTGGGTGTTTGAATAAATTAAGTAATTACAACTGAATGCACTGCGACAGCTTGTGCATGAATTGCTGCTCCCCTTTGACTGTATTGACAGTAACAGCTAACGTGACCTAAGCACCCACATACACCAGGCACGGCCGGAGCTCCTCTACAGGTAGACTTTCAGTTCATTCTTATTCATTAATGCTTATGACTGCAACATTTTTAAAAACCATTATCACCTCCATTTCACAGATGAGGAAACACTGCCCACGGCTGCACGACAAACAAGTAGCCAGTACAATCCTAGAGCCACTCATTTCAACACCTGACTATGCTGCACTTTTACAACTGTTGTGTAAACTTAGTGATCTGAGCCGTAACCACTCAGGTACACCAGCCAAGCTCCTGCCGCTACGAGGATCTAAGTAAGAAATGGATATGAAAGTTCCTCACAGAGCTTGTGTCCACAGTTGACTTGTATTGTCTCTTTACTTACATCAGGGCAGCCACCTACTCTCATAATTAAAAAAAAAAATTACCTTTATTATCTATGTTGCAATCTTCATGGATTAACAGTAATGGTGTATTAATTGTGCACTCATTTGTCTTGCACAATGCCTTATGATCACAGCACGAGACGTCCCAAGATTCAGGGTCCAAAGGGTTATCACACAGGGTTACCCGAACACAAAATATTATAAACAGGTACTTTACTAGATGTATCTTCAAATTTGAATTCTTTCTGTCACCAGTGCAGCTATAACAAAATCAGATAATGAAAAACATATTCCCTTTCCTTGCATGTCTGTCTGTGTGTGTCTCTCTCCCCCCCCCACACACACACAATTACAGCAGCAGTACCAAAGATAAAGGTCCCAGAGAACATTAGCACAGTAATAAGTCTGGTAAGTCTATTTTAAGGTCTACCTGTCTGAATTCTTCCTAGAACAATATTTAACAATTTACACTCCATTCAAAAGTACCGGGTGGCTAATATACACACACACTTTACCTGTTTATAAGACAGTATCTCTTAAGAGGTTTCTTCCATACTGAGGTCTCCATGCTTGAACCAGCTAAGTTTCTAAAAATTCCCTCTTGAGAACTTCCTGCCAAGATGGAATTGTACATCGTTTCTTTGAGATATCTCTTGGCTCCAAACAAAGAACAAAGCCATTAAAATACACACCAGTTAACCTTCTGTGTAAACCAGCAGCAAATGAGAAGCTAAGTGGCCAGCAAGGCTAAGGCCTAAGTCTCCTGGGCTCAGGGCTCCAGAGCAAGAGAGAACGGACAGGCCAGAAGTCCAGCCCCCTGAGGGAGAGGGAACCGACAGGGTCAACAGGTGAAGGTGCTGGAACCAGGCTTGTCCTTGAAGCCAAGAGGCAACAGGAGGCTCTGCCGGTCTCGCACGGGAGCAAACGGAGCTTCTGACACACATTCTGGGTCTCAGATGCAGGAAGAGCAAACGCTAGTCCCGACCAGGAAGTGGGCTCCGGGGAACCAGGCTAAGGCACACTCACAGCCAAAAAGCCAGGGGACAGGAGGCCCATATCAGTGAGAAAACAAAGTCCTCCCACCCACAGTGTGCCTGCAAATCAAAATTCAATGCACAAACACATAAAGAAATCAAATGCTAAGAAGGACAGTCAATAAAATCAGCCACTGGGAGAAGAATTCAGTCCTGATGAAATTTATATAATAGAAAATACTGGTGAATATTTTTAAATAAATAA